CTGCCACCAAAAAATATATATATCTACATATAGATATACATATAGCTATAAAGAGATATAAATAAATATGAAAAAGAAATATAAATATATCTATATATAATATATGTATAAAGAAATACAAAAAAGAAACAGATCTATAGCTATATCTATCTATATTTATCAATATAGATATATATCTACCACCAAGGAAAGGTGTGAATTGCTGCTGAATAAGCAATCCATAACGTCTACCTAAAACGGTCATTTGAAAAATGTGATTACTCAAAGAATCACCAAAGATACGCATACTAAATCTCACTTGCACAGCTGGGTGATTTACAGATTTAGAAGCTACAGTGAAATAAACATGGCCCCTTGGATTTCCTCATTCGTTACGCATTTACAGAATTATCACTGCAGATGTACATGGAAAAGAATATCATTCAATATTATCAGGTGTATTAGATTACTCATTAGATGTTCAAATTTTCTCCTTATATATTTTGTTCTGTCATTACTTTAAAGTATTGAGTAAGGTTATATATTACAGTGGAGAATTCTGTTACTGCCAAATACCAACTGTGTAATCATGAATGAATCATTTAAACTCCTAAATGTACCAACTTTGGTGTTATGGACTACACCATAAATTACTACAGAGGTTAAATGAAATTTCTGACAAAATAAATATCTTGCAAATGGTGAAGCTGAAGCTGTATACCAGTATGTTTCTTTTCACATGGTAATAAAAAGCTTCTGTAATTTTATTTTTATTGAAAGACTACAAATAATCAATGAACCATTTTATATTTGAATAAAGCTTACACTTGACAAAGAATTTAAAAATACAGAGTCTTCCTCAGGCTTTCTTATTATCTTCATTCTATAGATGAGGAATCAGAAGCTCAGGGTGTTAATGCATTAGTGAAGGGTCTCAGGTCATACAAAGTGAAGGCGAGATTTCAACCCAGGTATTCTGACAGTAACATCGGTTTTCTTCCAAAAACACTATGCTTGGCAGTGATCTCTGAGAGAGAAGAAACCAATGAAGTGAGTCATAGGATTTCACCAGTTTACAACCTGGAAAAACTTTCCAGGCTGGAATTCAGAGACAGTGAGTCCAGTTAGAGCCCAATCGTCTTCCTGAAATAAGCAGATGACACCAGAATTCTAGGGAAACAAAGGCAGCAAGAGTTCACAGGGCAGAATACTAGAAAAGAAAGAGCTACATAGAGAGAGCTCCAGAGATCAGCAAAGGGTCACCCTTGATCAAGTCTTCAACAAGGTATTTCTGAGCACACGTGTATGAAGAAAGAAAAACAAGGAAAAGAACCTCCTGAAATTAACAAAAGGAACAACCCCTGGACCTTACACAATTCCTCCCCTCACTGCCAGTATGGAAAACTTCATAATCCAAAGGGAATCAGACAAGACTCAGAAAGGTATTTCCTTAGTAGCGGGGCAGTTTGGCCCTACAATAATGGTGAGAAATCTTAAAAGTGAGCCACAAAAGCATCAAAGTTTTTCTAGTTTTTTGTCTAGACTACCTCACTAATGACCCAAGTTTTCCCTAAATAGGAAGGTTCCTGGCATGTAGAATGTTTAATTTAAAAACTGGAACAGGGGGCGCCTGGGTGGCTCAGTGGGTTAAAGCCTCTGCCTTCGGCTCCGCTCATGATCCCAGGGTCCTGGGATCGAGCCCCACATCGGGCTCTCTGCTAAGCAGGGAGCCTACTTCCTCCTCTCTCTCTCTCTGCCTATCTCTCTGCTTACTTGTGATCTCTATCTGTCAAATAAATAAACAAAATCTTTAAAAAAAAAAATGGAACAGTCCTAAGTAAATTGAAAAAATAATTTTTTTTGCCCTGAAAAATTTCAAAGATATTAATAGAAATGCAAAAATATCTAGGAATAAGGAAAATGTACAGAATCTGACATTCAGAAAAATTAGCAGGTAACAAAGAAGCAGGAAAATATGGCTTATATGAGGAGAAAATTAAGTCAATAAAACTAGACCTAGAAATGACAGAGACTGTAGAATCAGTAGGCAAAGATGGATTAAAAGTTATTGTAACTGTACTCCATATATTCAAGAAGTTAAAGGAAAGAATCATCATGCTAAAAAGAGACATGGGAATATAAAAAATAAACAGAATGTTTGGACTTCTAAAGATGAAAAACACTGTATGAAGATGAAAAGTACAATGGATTCAGCTAACAGCATATTAGATACCAAAAGAGAAAAGATAAGTGATCTTGAAGTCATAAAATAATCCAAGATCAAATGCACACACAAAAAAAGGCTGAATACAGTACACAACTTCATTGAGGTATCAGAAAACTTTATTTAAACTGTATTTAAACAGTTTTGACTCAATATACATGTAATTGTAATCCCTGAGAGAATGGAAGAAAATTTATTTAATGATGACTGAAAATTTCCCAAATTTGATGAAAATGATAAACCCACGATCCAAGTTCAAAGAAATCCAGGCACAAAAAATAAGATAAAAATCATACCATAATACCTTATGGTCAAATTTCTTTATGAAACAATAAAAAATATCTTAAGAGAAGCAGAGGCTAAAAGACATGTTACTAACAAAGAAACAAAGATTTGTCGAAAACAATGCAAGCCAGAACATAGTGAAGAAAATTCTTTCAGTGTTGAAGGGTGAAAATCCAGCAAAAATATTTTTCATAAATGAAAGCAAAATAAATGATATTTTCAGACACACAAAAGCTGCAAAGTCAGCAACAGCAAATTTCTGTTATAACAAATGTTAAAAGTTATTTGGGAAGAAGAAATATGATATCATAGCAAGATATGAACCTATACAAACTAATGAAAAGTACCAGAAATAACAACTACATGGGGAAATATAAAATATTTTTTTTCTCTTTTATTTAAATAAAAGTGTTGATTTTACTAAAAATTCGTATACATAGAAAGAAGATAATGGCTTAAAAAATAATGCTGTCAGAGGATGTAACATATGTAGAAGCAAAATATACAATAACAGAAAGGCAAAGAGGAAGCAGGAATATAACATGGTAAGGTTACTGTGATGCATATTAACTGGTATGATATAATTTAAAGATAGACTATGCTAAACCCTAAAGCACCCACTAACAAGCAATTCAAAAAGTAATAGCTAATAAGCTGATGATGGAGAAAATCATAAAAAGAATTAACCCCCCAAAATAAAAATTTAAAATTTAAAAAATTTAAAAATTAATCCTAAAGAATGCAGGAAAAAGGGAACAAAAACAAACAAAAGAAGAAATGCAACATATAAAAGAATATAAAAATCTGGTATATGTAAATCTAATCAGATCTGTAATTGTTCTAGTATAAATAGTCTAAGAGCCAATGAAAAACCAGAAATTATTATTTTTGGATAAAATAACAAGATCCAACAGGAAATAAGATATAAAGACACAAACTAGACTAAAAGAAAAAGAATTGGGAAAGAAACACTCTGCTAAAAGTAGTCAAAAGTAAGCAGGAGTGGCTATTTTCTTATTAGATAAAGTAGGCTTCATTGAAAAAATATTACTACAGATAGAGGGAGACATTTCCTGATTATAAGTGGGTTAATTCCTAAACAGAACATAAAAATCCTAAAAGTTTATGTATCCAGCCACAGAGTTCCAAAATACAACTATCAAAAACTGAATGAACTGCAAGGAGAAATTTTCAAAACCCTAGTGATTGCTGGAGATTTATCCAACCTTCCCTACTAAGTGATAAAGCAATTAGAAGAATCAGTAAGAATATAAATGAACAACACTGTCAATACACTTGATCTAATTGGCATTTACAAAAAATCTACTCAACAACATTTATTCCAAGTATGCACATAATGTTTACCAAGATATACTATATTCTGGGCCATGAAAAAGGAAAATATATGGATAAAAGTGTGGGCGAAATTTCAAAGAGCAAATCATGTAAGTTCTCTGACAACAAAGGAAATAAATAAAAATCACTAACAAAAAGATATTTGCATAATCCCCAAAGATATTAACAGAATAACATACATAAAAATAACCCATCAAAAGGAAAAGTAGAAAGTATTTTGAATTGGATTAAAACAAAAACACAATATATCAAAATGTTAGATGTTTCTAAAGCAATAATTACAGGGAAATTTATATCAATTAACATCTTACATTATAATAAAAAGAAATGTATCAAATTAATTATCTCAGTTTCCACCTTTAAAAAAAGTAGGAAAATAAGAGCAAAGTCCAACAACTGTAGGAAGAAGAAAGAAAATATTAAAAATCAGAGTGGAAATCAATTAAATAGATAATATAAAATGGGATAAAATCAATGAAGCCAAACCGGTTATTTGAAAAGAGCTATAAAATCATAAAACTTCTATCTAGTCTTATCAGCAAAAAAGAAGAGAGAAGACACACATTATAAATATCAGGAATGTGAGGGGTGACATCATTTCAGATTCTACAGATATTACAGGGATAATATGGAAATATTACAAACAACATTATGTCGATAAATTCATCACCATAAATGGAGTTGGAAGGAAAAGGAAGAGGAGAGGAGAGGAGAAGAGAAAAGAGAAGAAAAGAGAAGAGGAGAGGAGAGGAGAGGAGAGGAGAAGAGAAGAGAAGAGAAGAGAACAAGAAAAGAAAAGAAAAATATTTAAACTTATTTAAGAAGACATGGGTAATCAGAACAGCCTGTATGTGCTGAAAAATTTAAATTTAGGGTTAAAACTTTTCAGCAAAGACCTAGATGACTGCTTGAGTAAATATTACCAAATATTTAAGGAAGAGATAATACCGATTATTCACAAGCTCTTCTAGAAAATTGAAAAGGAAATAATATTTCCCAATGTATTTTATGAGGCCAGCATTACCTACAGATTAGATTGTGACAAATAAATAACAATAAAAGAAAAATAAATAAGAATAGACTTCTTGGATAAAGAAGCAAAAATTCTAGACATTTTAGCAGATTCAACCCAATAATTTGCAAATGATAACACATCATGGCCAAGTGGGGATTATTAAAGGAAAGCAAAGCCAACTTTACATCAAAGATCTACAATGTAGAAAAAGATCTACAAGGTAAGATCAATCAGTGCACTCCACTATATTAACTAACCCAAAATGAACAACTATAGGTTGATTTCAATACAAATGTTAAATAAGCATTTAACAGAATGCATTTCTGATTAAAAATATTCAGCAAACTAAGAATAAAAGCAAACTTCCTCAACGTGATAATGGGCATGTACAAAAACTTATAGCTAACACCATACTTAAGTGAAGGACTAAATGTTATTCTCCTAAGGGCAGGAGTAAGACAAGAATGTCTACTCTCAAAATCTGTATTCAAGATTGTATAGGTAACCTAGCCATTTGAGTAAGGCATGAAAAAAGTAACCACTACCAATCAATCAGTGGTCACATGTGAAGTGAAATACCTTTGCATTCCTCCTGCCTTGGAGAAAGAACACATCTGAAATGCTGAGGACCAATCATACTTCCTCTAGATTTTGATCTTCAATGAAGATACTTTCCAAGCTTGGCATCCCTATTCAAGTTCTCATTCCCGTCTATAGATGAGAGACTGCCTCCAGCTATAAATGGTTAAATCCTCCTAATGTCCTCCTAAGGCCGTGGCTTTGTGCAGTGTTTGAACCACATTCGTAAGACCCCAGGCTACTCAACTTCAGAAAAGCTTCTAAGAATTTAGGGAAAAGATGACAGTATGAGAATGATCTACACAACTGTCTACGGGGAAAGACCATACACCCTCTAAAACGAGTATCTGGGTTTATCTTTCCCTAAAGCATATTTTATGTTCAAAATGCAAGAAGGGATATTCTTCCATAATATAGTTCTATCTCACTTAACTTAGGAAAGACTCAGATATTATCTTAAGAAAAACCAACTCTTTGTCTACCATGCACTCAATCTTTTTTGTCTTACAATCTTTTTTGTCTTTCTTCTCCTCCTTCATTATTGAGAAATCAATTCTTCCCAGTAGAGACTTCTAGCATTGGCGGACATTAAAAAAAACAAAACAAAACAAAACAAAAAACACAACTTAACCATCATCTGTCCTTCTCATGAAGCTCCCAGTTGTGTTCTCCCAACCCATTTGAGCTGAGGACCTCTGAAAAACCTGCGGCCAGTTAGGACCCTGGGAATCAGCACCTGTGATGGTTTTGCTAACCCAGAGAGGTTTCAAGAAATTCTCTGGAGCTTTCTGTCTATCAGTGACCCTAATTGCATCCTCTTGTATTGCCATAAAACATAATTAAGAGAAAGGAGGCATTTAATCAAATACTGCAAGTATTGGCTGCATTGCTTGTAAAGAAGCTGGTTAGGCAGAGTGACAATAAGATCTGCTTAATATTTTTATATAGTGCTTAAGACTAGCAATCCTTAATTTATTTTTTAGTCTGGAAATTAAGGATGAATAATGATCTCCCAATTGCCCTTCACAATCATGATTCAGCCTGAAGAGTTAATAAGCCACCTTCAATACCCCACCCCCTTCCCTGAACAGACATTTTTTCCACATGGATGAACACAAAGAAATAATCAGATAGGAGATTTTTCTTCTAAATTAGGCCTCTTGTTTGTAAACTGAAAGAGTGCTAATGCAGTTCAAACTCAGCTATGCACCACACATGCCCATTCTGCCCAGGCTTATTACAAAGAGCGGGAGAATTGAAGGTTTTGTTCTATTCTTCAGGCTCTTTCTGTGTGAGAGGCCATTCAAGCCATCGGGTAGTTCTCCCTCACTCTCTTTCTCTCTCGGCCCCTCGCTCACACACTCCGTTTCCCTCTATAATGCCAGCATTAGAGGCAAGCTGCGGGCTGCAAGCGAGCTTTGATGTCGACCTCTTGCTGCCGGCCTTGGTGGGTGAGGAGCAGAGCAGTGAGGGCATGTGTGGGACAGAGCGGGATGAAAGGAGGGGTGACTGGAGCCCATGATGTGGATGGATTCCTGCCTGTTCACTTAGATTCTTCGGGAAGAAAAATGCTAAGCCCTGAGATTACAGAGGTTATGAATCAGCTAAACCTCAGGAATTAAAACAACACAAGAATCAAATTATTGCTCAGGGTTTAGGGAAAAGTAAGGGAAGGAAGGAGGAAGGAAGGAAAAAAGGAAGGAAGGAAGGAAGGAAGGAAGGAAGGAAGGAAGGAAGGAAGGAAGGAAGGAGAAAGAAAGAAGGAAAAAGGAAGAGAGAGAAAGGAAAGAGGGAGGGAGGGAGGAAAGAAAGAAGAGAGAGAGAGGAAGAAGAGAGAGAGGGGAAGGAAGGAAGGAAGGAAGGGAGGGAGGGAGGAAGGAAGGAAAGAAGGAAAGAAGAAATTAAAAAGGAAGTGAGGGAGAGAGGAAGAAAGAAAGAAGCCACAGATGGGGCCAAAGAAATAAGGACATTCAGATAACAGTCTAAGAAGTCTGGCTAGTCAAGGGTGCAGGGAACCAGCCCAGCTCCTGGGCAACAGCTTTGGGCACTCTGGTCCCCTTCCAGCCTTGGACCTGTGGCAGATGTCAGGAATAAATCTCTGGCCCTAGTGGTAAAGTTACAGTTGGGACACAGGCAGGCAGCCCATGAGAAGGCCACAGGGCAGTCCACTCTGCCCTCCCATGGGCCGGTATGGTAAGGGAATCTCTGAAGGGGGAGCCCGGCAAGGGAACTTAGGTCCAGTTTGAATTCTTGGCATTCAAGGACTACTTTCAATTAGATTATGGAGTTTCTGTGGCTCTGCCTGGATTAACATGCTATTCATTACTAGTCTGCCAGGGCAGATCAGACCTTGTTCTCCAGTAACAGACACTTGTTTCCTCCTCCCTCAACCACCCGTTTTGTTAATCTCACTGCATAAAGGAATAAGGGTCTGTCTTCCTCCTTAATTTTCCAACCCATAGTCTCAACTCCAGCAGGTTTGTGACCGTGGAATGAGACAGGGAAATGTTAACACTGAATCCTTTCTCTGTTTTCTTTTCTTATTTTCACTCTCAGGGTGTGTTTTAAAAAAAACAAAAATCCCAAAGCAAGAATCTACCAAGGCCCTACTATGCGCAAGATCCATACTAAAGAAATCTACAATTCAGAAGTGGAAAGGAAAAATAATTTCACTCTATATTAAGCCTTGACCTGTCCTTCGTTACTAAAATGAGTCTCTTAATACTAAAATAAGACCTTAAAAAAAAAAAAAAAAAACTCTGATGTTTTCAGAATACGTAAGTTCTGAATTTTTCCCACCACATCTCTTTCTTGATCTTGGGTTTGCATAAGTGCAGGTTATCTGAAATGAATTGTTTTGCACACTGGTCAGAGGAGTATTCAGGGGAGCTGTTTGCCAGGGAATAACACCGGAAGATGTCAGGAGCTAAATAAATGGCCTGTGGTCAGTCAGAATGTCATTGGGACAAGACCCCTTCTCCTTTGAAGATGGATTGACACATAGCTTTCTTCCAATAAGCCTTCAAAGCTAAGTCTGCCTGTCCCTTACCCCACCATTCATGGCTGAGAGGAGAATCCTGAGTCCACTGGGCTCTTTCCTGGGTCCCTAAGGTTAAGGCAAGAAGATGTCTTTGTAGGGAAGCATCCTCTGAAAGACAAACCTCCTTAGGAAAAGGGGTGAGGTGTCTCATTTTCCAATTCACTATAACCTGAGCATTCCTGAGCTATGAATTGGACTCATGGTTGTAGAAATTGCTTGCACTTCATGCCTTTCAATTGGAAGACACAAAAAGGGCCTGGGTTAAATGGAATCATCTGTTTTAAAAGATAAATATATGTCTAGAGATAGAGTACCTGTTTGGGTTAATCATACATATGTTGCATCCGAGGGTTTTGTTTTTTAAAACCATACCCTGATATGGAATCTCCGTACTATGAAAATCAAAATAAAGAACAAAATAAAAAAACAAAATCAAAATAAAGAACAAAAATAAATAAATAAAAATAAAGCAGGGAAACTGCACAGGCAACCGGAGAGCGCCCCCACCCCCACCCCAGTGGGTCCTCTCTGGTGACTACCCCAATCTTCACTCCACCCCTCAGTTATAAGATCAGCAAAACTTTCGAGGGAAGAAGACCCAGAAAGAACAAATGTGGCAGCAAGAGACAGAGGGAGCAATACCTTCAGAGTCTGAGAATGTAATGGGACCTGTAGGTCTGTTAATTACCAAACAAAACTTCTGTTTCAAGAAAGGGGAAAATGCATTTTAATAGAAGCTCTATAATTAGCCATTTCTGTTCATGGTTTCTTAGTAGTTTTTATGTTTGTCTGCCTTCACCTTTATTTCCTTTAACAACGTTCACATAAAATGGCTCGGAATTGCTCTGCCTCTAATTATTTACTGTAACAACCAACAAGCTAAAAGATGACAAAGTCATAAAGAAAGATCTTTGTACAGCAATATTGACTCACCACGGTTGCATTCTTTTATTTTTTTTGTTCGTTTCTAGTGTATAATTTGCAAGTATGCATAAAACAGTGGCTGGAGCTTTATTTTATGATGATGTTAGACTTTTCGTCTGTGAATTTGCTTTAAATATAGATACACAGTTTGTTCAGCCTTTGGTAAACAGAGTTCCACTCCATCCCAAACGTCACCACTTGTCAAAGTGGAACTGGTATGACTTGTTTGTGCTGAGGGCAGGGGCAGGACTGTTCGGAAATCAAAAGGTAAATGTAAAACCAAGAGAAGGTAGGCGTTTGGATGCCAAGACTGAACCGTACCACAGGGAATGATTCAGAAAAAAATGATCAATGTCCAATTGTGGGAAATCAATTGAGAAATTAAATCCTCATTGGGGCAAAACCAAGAGGCACAATCCTACGATGAATCAAAATCAAAGCCACTACAGTCTGATAAGGGCAGGAGATTCACATTGATGGAAGTAGTCACCCAGGTGTCATGTCCTTGAATCTGAAATTGTTTGCATTTCATCTTGCGGAAAGCCCATTTTAGAAATGTAAGAACTGGGAGTTCAACACCAGAAATGATGAGCCTTATACTGGACATAACAATGACTCTGTGTTTGACCAATACCTGATATTTGGAAGAAGAACAAGTTCAAGGGTCACAACATAGGCCTGGAGGGCAGCAGGTTCAATTCTGATTCATCATTCTACCGTGGGTGACATCAAATGACCATTCTCAACAAGTTGCCATTGCTAAGTGATTGCAATACTAGGGGTGAGATGTACTGTGGGACTTGAAGACATGAGAAGGGACAAAGAAGCAGTGACCAGAGCACCACTTCTAAAGGAACCCATCCAAGTAGTTTCTGGGATGAAGGAAAGGTCACAGACTACCACAACACCACCGTAGTTGGAAAACAATATGTTAGCCATCTCTCAAGGGGTTCACTTTAGAACCAATAGTAGCTATGACCCATAGGTCTTTTCTGTTGTAGCCCAAGGTAAGTGTCCTTCAGAGATGAGTCACTTCCCATTTTGATGTGGCACACATGGGATATTACAGGAAAGGTCCCTCCTTCAGGAGCCCAGGGCTTCCCTCTGGGCTAAGCATGGACTGGCTTCTCTTCAACATGGAGCCAAGTCCAAACTCGCCTGTGTTAGGCTAGAGATCTCCAGCAGGATTCAGAACACGATAAATTTTACTCTGTTCCCTGAGTAGTAATGGTTTGTCGTAATAGGCTCTTGCTGTAGTTTATTGGTCCATCTCGTGGTTTATTAGAGCACAGCCTGTGTCAGGGCTTCCATTATAAAGCCATATTTTCTGGGTTGAGAGATCAACAATAAAATTGGGCTAGTATTGAACCTTAATCTTGATATGCAGTCCCTGCCCAAGAATGTAAGAGGAGAAATTAAAGAGAGAAGGGTAGAGATAGAAAGAAATGGAAAACAAACCATTGGACAGGCAACTATAATTCCTGCACTTCTGAATTTATTTCAGCTGTGTTTTGATTATAAGGTACACTTTTGTTTCATTATGTTTCCATTTATCATTGGGCTTATTTGGTAGAGGAATTATTACTTGAGAGATGGAAATTAACGGTAAAGTCATATCAGTTTTCCCTCTACCCAGATGCCATACTTACATGTCCACAAAATAACCACATCTTCCCCTTTTAATTTGCTCCTCAAGTCAACTAAAGAACAGGAGATTTCATGTCAACGAGACTGCAGTAAAAAAATAAATAAATAAACTTAAAAGGAACGGGAAGTTTAGCACCGTACAAAAGTCATGAAAGAGAAAAGGTAGTAATGTCCTTGTGAAATTGTTCACCACTTTTTTCTCTCCTTTCGGTGACAACGAGCCTTTGGCAAACTCCTGATCAGGTGAACTTTTATGCTTCTCTTCGTTTAAACAAAAACAGTACTGATGTTTTTGTTTTACTCATGCTACCAAAGAAAATTGTTTCGACGTGTTTAAAGTGCTTCCCAGGGCAATGATATCCAACAAAAGATCATTTGTAAAGGATTCATTTCGCAGAATGCACGGCCTTGCTGTAATGTCCAGTATAGAGAAAGATCTTAGCTTAAATTATACCACAGCTATTTTAAATGGATTTTTAAATTATCTACCTTTGCATTTCATCATGAATGTTTCAGGGAAATTATCCTGAGATAATGCCAACAAATGGCTGCAGACTTTAGGCTTATAATTGCTCTTGTTCATTTAAGGTTCCCAGCAGACCATATCAGGAAATTCAATGCCTGGCAAGTCGGGGTTGATAATATACCGTAACTGGCATTTTCTTATTAGACGAGCACCCAAATCAGCTTTCATTTGTAGCAATGACCCTAATTAAGAGAACCATGATTTAAAGCTGAGTCTTTGCATTTTAAGAATCAGATCTGGATACGGCGATGTTAGCCAAAGGGTTATTTTTTTTTCCTAGTCAATTGGCATAATCTAACCTTAATTTTAA